CATGCTATCTGAAGAGCCTCCCTCCCCCACCCGGGCATGGCAAAAACCTACGGATGCCCATTCGAAATTCTGCCAAAAACATCCACGAGTACCAAAAATCAACAGTTCCCTCTCCCACTGTTCCACACGCTAATGACCGATGTTGTAAAAAAAAAAATTGTCATTATAATAGTTGACATTATTGCAAAGGATTAAATCAAACAAACAAATATTAAGAATAAAAAAWATATATATATTAAAACCTAGGTACATTCCATATCAAACATTTTCTATATGAAATGATTAAAATATATTATCGTGTATTTCGCAACCTATATAATATTATCGTGAATTTAGTTATTATATTATACATAGGTAGTTAATTTTTTATGAAATGAAAAATTATATTTATCGATCATAATAAAAACACTAAAAATACCATTATACTCGTTAGTCATTACAAAATAATTGTTTCACTATTTCAATTATTACTCATGACATAAGTTTAATATGGGTATTAAGTTTCTCAAGGAATTTATGTTTTTTATTTCATTATATTATAAGTATAAATTGTTTTTCTTAAAAGAAAAAAATATCTACACTATAATAAGAATAGCTACAWAACTCTATTTAATATAATTGTAAAATAAATCTAATATTAACCCTCGACGTACAGATTAATAATACGATTTAAGCTTCTAAACTACGAAACTGAGAAGCTTATGGTTAACATAATCTATTGTCTGTGTTACAAACATTGTAGCCATGTATGTACATTAAACATAATATACGTTGTATTATATGTAGGAATAGGTACAACACTATAATAATTTCGTTCTATTAGTATAAATAAATTTGTCAATAGGATCTTCCTGTATACTTGGACTAACGATGTTTTGAATAGTCGATGAATGGGATTTTGGTGTAGAAGAGACAAACGTCGACGGCGACGATCGTTATGTACGATTAACTTGCCAGGCGTGCCCGACCACGCCTAAAATACCCGTTTATAACACATATGTTCCGATTGACCACAGACAACACTAACTACTAATACCCAGATATTATATAAAAGTAGTTWGTCATTAGTTCAATACATTACTAAAAATATTTAAGAAATCCATATTCCATACATTACTCCATAATATATAGGTTAGGTACTTAGTATTATCTAATAACATAATATCCTAAAAAAAAAAATATGGGACACACCCCACGGCTGTTATTCTTTATAATAAGTGTTTTTACCCTCTTGAAAATTTTATGTCGTAACATATATATATATATATATATATGTATATATATTCTATATTTTGAATAAGTTTACTTTTATTTACATAATATATAATGTCTAATATTGTAGTTAAAGTGTGTTGACTGTTGATGCTGTTTTTCAATAAATAGGTAGTTAAATTTATGTTCTAAAATATAAACGTAGGAAAGGAACCTGCCTATAGTTAGTGTGCCTAAATAATAGATTTATACGGATTCTATTGAAATCAAATTCGAAATTTTATTTCTGTAAAATCGATAGACTAATCAAACAGGTTGTTACATATTTATTCAAAGGTTAATAGGTACTTGATTATTTTAAAATTATATTTTTTCTCATTTTAGTTAGTACCACTTACTATGCAAATTTATCACTCGAAATTAATGAAGTTACACTGATTATCTTTGTATAATATACTACTATGTAAATTATGTAATTACTTATTCATGTTGGGATAACCAATAATATAACTTTAAGTAAGTATCAATAATCAATATAGTGATACTATTTAAATTTATCTTGTGATTGTGAAATATAAACTTTTTATTTGTAACTTAATAATAATGATATACATTTAAACAATTTATTTGTGTCACTGAAAATATTTACCCAAAGGTTTTTCTATAATAGCTTCAATTATTACAGTTGAAAGCATCAATATAAAAAGGTTGATACCACAATGCCCGAATTAAAATAATTTGTATACCTACCAACTACCTACTAAAAACAGATAATAATGTTAACAGTTCCTATATAGGTAATTATTAAACGATTATATTATTCTGTTGTATGAAATATGGATACTTTTTAGATATAGATTAGGTATTTTAAATTGTAATTCAWAGGTTTTATAAAATGTATTTTATGTTTTAATCATAATCTACCTAACTAAGTACCAATCATCAACAATATACCTAATAACAATATTCAAGTCATAAGTAGGTAGGTACAATAAGTTAAAATATAATTTAGACACAATTTAAATAGTTAAAATTATTGAATATTTTTAATAGGTACACAATATGTACAATTATACCAATGTTACTGCATAACACYAACATTTAAATGAAAATATAAATGATAAATGTAATAATTAAAATTACATAACTTAAATCTTAATTATACAGTGAAATACAGATAGTAACTGTAACTAATTAATATTAATATGTTTTAGTGTTGTATGTAGGTGCTTAATTATTAAAAAATCAATTTTAATTTTTAGTTATTAATAACYATGGTTTGGTTGAACATTATTCTAATAGAGGCCATTTTTTGTGAGTTTAAAATTTAGATCGTAAACATTAAATAGTTGTTAAACAAGAGAAATTATTTTTTTAATTGTATATACATTTTTATAACAATTATTTTTGACTTCAAATGAAGCTAGTAATTAATGCAGGCTATTCATTATTTAAAAATAGTTTTTTTTTTAATTATGAGCAAAGAAAATAATGGTTTTTGTTTTTTAATTTAATATTTCTATAGTTACTTTTAACTTTTTCTGCGGTAAAAGAATTATAAGAATGGCATTTATTCATGCCTAATATCTATGCCACTTGACAGAATAATTAGATATATTTGATACTTTTATTAATTAACTATTATTATAAATTTAAGTATAGATTTTGTACTAAAAAAAATTGTTAACAAATTTTCAAAAATATTATATATTTTTCCTGTATTAACTTAATAACTTAATTACAGTTTTAACTGAGCTTTGCAAAAAAATATTTTTTTTTTGAATTACTGTGCATCATAGACAGTAGATTACCAATCTATATCATCAATCATGGTGAGTGAAAAATAACTGGTTGCCATAGACTAGTACTTTTACACCACTTTTTTTTTTAATAATCAACTTCAAATACTTAATACTTGTTCTTAATATATAAAAATATTTCCAAATTTCTTGTTTATAYAAATAGGTATATCACAATGTAATATAATTTATTTAAAATTCATTTTAAACTGTCGACTGGTAATACATTAAGTTTGTAGTTTAAAAAAGGTTGAATATTTATTTTTTTCTAAAAAATGATTGCTTATTTTTGTGATTGYATTGAAAAATAAGTTTAAATCAAACTTTTAAATAGGTAAGTAGGTAAGTAGAACAATTATTTTAAGAATATTTTATAATTTAATAACTATAACATAGTATAATGTCTAAAAATTAAAAAGTTATTAAAATTTGTTTCAAATATATGAGTTGTTTTTACAAGATACCTCGAATATATTTTACTATTTACTAAATGTATAAAAATAAATAAATGTTTTAACCATGACAAATACCTATAAATGCATTTTAAATGCCTCGATGATAGACACATAATATTGTAAGAATACAAAACTTATGCACAAAAATTAGTGGATAGTCATTGACGTAATTCTATAAAATTTTAGCAGGTGCTAAACTTTTATCGCCCCAATAATAATCGTAGTGAAAAATTAAGTCATATATAAAGCTAATCATATTGCTCAAATGTACCTACTACAAGTATCTTTTTATATACACAAATATCAAAATGACAAAATCTGTAATATTTAACACTGTATGAGGTGTATCTGTACCATAATATATTATACATATAAAAATATAATATATTTTTATATGGAATGAATTAGAAAGGATTTAGAGTGATTACAACATTTTTAAACAAATTTACAAAAAATTTGAAAAATCAATAAAACATAATAACTATTGTAGTTTAGGCTGTCATATAGTATGCGGTCTACCGGTGAATTTACGAGTATAGTATGCGGTCTACCGGCGATTTACGAGTATAGTATGCGGTCTACCGCGAATAAATAAATTAAAAATATCATAATATTATAGTATAATTATTGTAGCAATAATTGCAAAAAGCATTATCTTTCCTATATAATAGTATAATTATTAGTAGTATAATTATTATTAATAAAATAATTTTCTCACCTTAAGCTTTGTGTTGTTTGACATCCCTTTCTCTTACAACGTAAAACTCTCCTTTCCTTACCTCTCTCCTTACGTAGGTATAAATTCATAGCACTTCCACACTTAATACATTCGGCATTTTCATTATTTGCCACAAGTTTTTTGYTAATTAAAAWATTTGTGGTTGATTCRTCACTACTAATTATTGAATAAAAATCTTTTGCCAACATATTGGGTGTATAAAATATAATATGGTGTCGCGCAATAAATGACATACTGAGCTATTGAGCCAATACTTTTACAAAATATTGAAGTATTGTTATCTGTGTATAATGTAATTAAGATAAAGTATATCTAAAAGATAGAAAAAGATTAAAGTGTATCTATTAAAAATAAAACCAGTAAAAACCGCAGGTAGAYCGCATCCTACAGYGGCTGGTAGAACGCATTTGCCGGTAGACCGCATACTATATGACAGCCGTAGTTTAATAGGTATAAATGTCAGCCTCAGCAGATGCTAAAGCATATCTTTAGGYCCTACTACATAATACCAGGGGGTTCTYCACCCCCATAATTACACCACTGTGGATAGTACTTGTGGGAGCTAAGTATTCCTTCATGATTATATATTCACACATGTAGTTATACTTAGTTAAATTGTAAAAAATATAGTTATAGATAAGTAAATAAATAATAGTGTATACTTATAAGCACCATACACTATACTCTACACAACTACCTAATAAAAAGCACCTTTTCTCTTTACGATCAAATATTTTCTTTTAAACCCATTGCATATCATATTTTATTACAATTGATAAACTTATTGGTACTTACACTTGAGTAGTGTGGATGTGTTGGCCTAGGAGTAGCATAATAGGTTGCCACTCCTCCAGCATGTTGCATGGGATGCATTACCGTTGCAACTTGCATTCAAACAGCTTTTAGGAAACTTCTAAACAGCTAAAATATAAAAATAATTGTTCAATTATTGTGTTACTATTTATAATACATAATATTGGACACACTATTTTTGACTTGTGGGCAATAATCATAAACTCAAGCACATCAACATTTATAATTTTGATGTATTTCAGGTTTTAAATTTGATCTAAAAAACACATTTTAAAAAACAAAGCCCTTACAATTACTAAAGCACTTAATAAGTAAAAGGTTTGGATAAAATAAACAAAATCCAAATCTACTGAGGTCTAAGACTAATTATTTTATAAATAATTACCAGCAATAACATAAGTTTAGACTAAAAAACCATAATATATTTAAATAGGTAGTTTGTAAAAATGTATATATATTCAATGAAGATAATTAAATCGAGAGGATAAATATTTTCTTCAAATTCTAAAATTATTATAAAAACCACAAATTKAACTATGATTCATTTCTCAATTTAATAAATATAATCTAGATGTATCAAATGATTACCCAAAGTACATTTTAAATTATAATTTAACTACTTGGGTGTTATAATTGTAATAAAAAATATTTTTTCCTCATCTATTAGATGCCTATAGTTTTATTGAAATATCTATTTTTTTCATTATCTTCTACCTATAGTTACTTCAGAAAAAACAGATTTAATAATTATGCATAGTACTATAATAAAATAATACTACCACACTTTTGATTATTAWGTATATGTTTAACAAATTTAAATTATAAGTAAATAAATTCATGATTTTTGTAAATATGTATTTAGATATACTAAACTGGTAGAGACCAATAAACTTTATRGACTTTGTTAAAAATAAATAAAACATATTGTAGGTACATTATTATAATATTCTAGTATTCAAAAATTATTTGTATAACCAAGTAATATATGATATTATGATGTATTAAAATCAAAAAGATCTTGATAAAAATTATTCATATAAAATATGCATCAAATAATTTAATTAGGAACAATGAAGTTTAATTACAATTTTTTAGTAAAAATGAACTTAAGATTCTTTAAACTAATTACTTTATTAAAACACTAGTTCAGTAAATTGTTTTAAAAATTTATTCAAACACAACATTTACATTTTCTTACTTATCACTAAAAGTAAACAATTTATAGTAACACATAGTTCTATTATTTTACACAAACTAATTACAATTTAAATTATAAAAAAAAAAAAACAGAATTAATAGGTTGTATAATATTAATGCGTAGTTAAAACTGATTATTATTATCAATTATCAAATATAAAAATTCTTATCAAACATTAGTAAGTAAGGAACAGAAATAAAGACATAAATTTTACATCTATCAACACASTAGTAAGTGGTGAAAATACAATTTGCATAAACTAGGTAACTGTTCTATAATAATTTAAATAAGGAGTGTGCACCAGCATAATAAAAAATCATTGGTGGAGCTCCTTAAAATGTGTTTGAATGTACATGATATTGCATGTTACAACATAACTAATGTCAACAAAAAATATTAAAACTAGAACTGATAGATATCTTGAACAAAAATCTACATACCTACTCTGTATATAGCATCCAGATGAATGGTTTCCAATTTTAACAGATTAAAATTACAGTGATGCATTAGCTTCAAACGAGACACACAAAAAACTTAAATAACTGTTGTCGTTTACTCAACATCAAACAATACAAACTGTACGAAAATTTTGGTAAAGCTTCCCTCAACACGAACACTACTCATAACTACTGGGAAAAAGCTGCAGTAAATAGTGTGCGATCGTAGAATTTCCACAAGGTTAACACTTACGAAATATCAATTGATATGGTTGACTAGTGAGATGGCTACAGTCAGCTGAAGACGACCTGCTACCGCCTATTATCTACACTCATGTGTGTACAGATAGGACTTATTGCAGATTGAGACGCTGTGCTCCTCCTGCAAAAACCACAGAGATCCATCCACAGGATGGTATAATAAAAGTATATGGTTATAATATGGTCAATAGGTACTTACCACTGAGTAATGTTTGTGTGATGTGCCGGACATAGCTATGACCATGGAAAGATTACTTGAGTTAATTGATATAGGTGTAAATAACAACTTGCACTGCAATCAGTAGCTAACAGACAATAGCTACGGTAGAAGGCAGAGAAGGCACCAAGTGGCGGCGTGCTTTAAAGCCGGTGAGCATCGATCTTTGCGGAAGTCGGGAACCCTCTTCTGGTGGCGGTCGTAGAGGAAAAKAAGTGCGATAAATTAGCGGCAGGATGGTATGTGGGTAGCTGAAAACCGCGAGACGTGTGTATTGATGATGGTATTATTATTATAGATAATTATCAATTATTGATATTCAATAAAAAGTACCTACCCGTCACCAGCCAAAATTATGGTGATTTGGAATAAAAATTAAACGACRATGACCGACGGCGATCGGAAGTGATTTTTTTACGCGGACGTAAGACGTAACCGACCCGAATCGTTATCGCGATAAATAAATAATAGTAATAATAATAATAATAATAATAACAATAATCGCCGTCGGGTCGTCTGTGGTCGTGGTCGTCGTCGTGCTGAGCGGCGGCGGCGGCGGCGTCGGCAGCGACGTCGTGGTCACGTCGTCGACCGGCGGATAAGGAAATGCCGTCGAGCGCACACACACTCACGTACACGCGCACGCACGCACCCGACTTCGACACACACACACTCAATGAGCCCACTAACGCACACGACCACACGCCACACACGCCCCACCGAGCTGTCGTAGTTGTAGTAGTGTAGGCAGTCGGTAGTAACTAATAGTAGCACCCGGTWGTAGTAGTTGTTGTTGTTGCTGTTGTTGTTGTTGTTGTTGTAGTAGTAGTGGTAATAGCAGTATTAATATAACACCCATTGGTGGTCGGAGGGGGTTGTGCAGTACGGCGGGGGCGGACACACGGTGCGCTCCATCCCTGAAATAGCAATAATGAACGGAGGAAAAAAACGGCGGCGCGTGTGAGAGGGTGTGAGGAAAAACCCGGTCTCCCACCCACCGTCGGCACTAAAGTCCACCCGCACATCGCGCCGATCGATTTTTGGGTATACCGGCGTGTGTTCTCTCATGGAACAGAAAAAGGCCGCTGCGGGGACTAGAGGACAGTATTATAAACGAGAACGGCTTATATTTGTTTCGCCGAGAATTTGCGATTTTTTCCACAACCCTCTCGTCGCGATCGATTGATCCGGTTACAACGCCGCCGCGCGATATCATAAAATAAAAAAATTTATTTTTATTTTTATTAATATCATACCTGCGATATCGACGGCCGTTCGCTCTACGACACTATAAATAATCCTGTGTGACTTCCGGTCGCATCAGTACTCGGGAATATGGGCGAGGAGTGAGGACAAGCACAGGGACTGGGGACTTTTCTTTTCCGCGCGATCGGATAACACGGTCGGCATGACGGTTTTAAGAACAGCTGTTCCGGAGGCCGCCGCCGTGACCGATTGTAATGCGCGTGGGTGGTAGGCGGCCACCGTGGCGCCTCAGGTCGCGATATCTGTCGTGATATCTACCGACCAAATTCTGTACCGCCAAAAACCGCCCGTCTAACCGACAGATGGCGAAGCTTTCACAAATATATTTGTTTTTTTTTGGTAAGTACTAACATTGATTATAAATACTATATATACTAAAATTATAAATATTATAAATAAATTATAAAATAGAATTTATAATCAATGGTACTAAGTAACGAGCACGGTCTTGGATGTCAATAAAATCAAGGCTGGGCAAACGAGTTAAAATTTGTAAGTGAAGTTTAAAATTTAATTTAATTTAAAAGTTTCAACTTGGCAAATTACATTTGCATTTTCATTAACTTAACTGTTATAAACTCACTTAATTTATTTTTAATTAACATGAAATTAACGAATTAATTTTTCATTTTAAGATGTTATAAAAAATGTACTCATTTGTTTTTAATTTTATTACATTGCATTATTGTCTATTTCAGTCAATTTTGTTTCAAGTACAACATCTTCAATGAAATACAAGCTATAGAGAAATATTTTTACAGTTTACTGTATTATGTATAAATAGGCTAAGTAAATTCTATAATTTAGTTTTGGGGTGGTATATAGTGCGCTAGCGTTAAAAATAACTATTTGTACCTAATATAGTAGGATGGGTTAATTTTTGATAAAAATATTAGATTTTAAAATGTTATTGTGTGTAAAAAATATAATATTATACTACAAGAAGGTACCCAAGATTAAGATTTTTAAATTACAACAAATACCTAGGTGCCTATAACTATTAAGTCGTTAAAATATTAAAATTTCAGTAAAAAAAAAAAAACGGCGTTTGTACTTTAGTTAAAATATGTGACTTTAAGTATAATTTTTATGTTTGAACTCAAAAATAAACTTGTATTTAATTTCCAAGGTTAATGACTGAGCTAAAAATGTATTTTAGAAGCTGAACTCATCCCGTATTCAAACTTTTATCTTCATCAATTTTTGATTTTAATTTTTACATTTTTCAAAAATTTTACACTAAAATTAAATCCTTTAATATTTGGTCCTATATTTATAATTATAAAACCTTCAAGGGTCGACGCAGGTGTTTCCTAGGTAGTTTTCCAGTTTGTAAAAGTAATGTAACTTTATCATTTAGGTGGTAATAGTGGTGAACTTTAAATGTGAATTTTTCGACAACAAAATTGATGGGAAATTTTTTTGGCAATATTTTAATCTAAATATTGAGATCCGACTTTTTTGAGAACAGAAATTTGAACTTGAGTCGTACTGAACCTTGATGATTTCAATATAAATTTTAGGCAATAATATGATTAATATTGAAAGGGTTTGTATTTAAAGCTGAATCTCAAAATTCAAATATAGTTACCTATATCATACAACATTTTACGGTATATAATCTTAATATAGTATTTCAACTTTACAAAACAGGAAATACAACTAGAACCAAATTCAAAATTTAGAAATTAATCAACTTGGTAAAATTTGTAAGTTACAAAAAAGCGGGTAAGTCGTGGATGTCGCTCTGCTGTACAGTAGGTTACTGTAATGGATGGGATTAAATTTGAATTCAAAGATAGGTATCATTGTATACGAAAAACGATTCTGAACGGAGATGATTTGTCAGTCTAGGATATTATATTATTATATTTAAATATTGTCATATATTCTATTTTGAATATTTTATTTTTCAATTAAGACACATTTTGCATTTAGGCATGGCTAATCAATTTTTCCAAAAACATTGCAAGTAGTTATCATAATTCATAATACCTTATATTATCATAGATATACATATATCAGGTTTGAGGATAAATCGTTATTATTACGCGATTTCATA